AGATTGTCCTAGGGCCCATAAAGAAGATTCTTGGTGGCAATGAACACACGCCCTTCTTTTGAAATTTGCCATCGTGAGCCTAACAACTTTAAGGCGCCTTCAGTTCGGGCCAAATCAGGTTGATAACATCATTCTTTCCTTTTAAGATAAATGTGCGAGGTATTCTTATGCAAAAATAAAAAAAGACACTTTTATAGTCTCGCTCTATGCCTTCTTAAGAGCGTTCGAAGCGTTTTGTTACCTTTGCAATTAATGTCCAAACGACGTCTTTCAACGAAAGTTAATAGTTTANTTTTTTTCAAAACTTATCTCAAAGAGCGGGTAATGAGATCAAAAGTGCAAATTACGAAGATAGCAAATCTTTTCCTTGTCACTTTTTTATATGATCACCTTCGTATTTTCTTGGCGATAAACCCCAATCCCTTTTCAAGTTACTTTATTTTCCCTTTACATTAAAAATCTGTAGGATTTATTCTGAGACTCCTGAAAGTTTAGCACGGCTTTTTATACGAGGCCAAAGGTGAACCCTAGAAAATGTGAAAACATTGAACAGGGTACAAGACTTTCGTTTGTAACTTTCTCAGGAAAAATTACAAATTTGACATGAACATTAAGAAAGTGGCGCAGAGCTATTTACTGATTTTAATCCAGTAACAAGCTTTCACTCAGTCGAGCTAGTGAATGTTTTCAATGCTTGGTTTTTCGTCAGTGGCAAGTCTGAACCTGTATCCCTCGAACATACTAGTATATCTATTTTAAAGCTACTTTTGGTGAAATGAACCCTCTTTCCCCATCTTAACTTCCTCTGGTAAACCGGATACTTGTATGCGAGTCCGGGAAAATTTATAGGGGAATCAAAACATCGTTTTATTTACCGAAATAAGAAGAATTAATTTGTTGCTAGGTATGTTTCAACATGTTGATGAAGGTCCAGTAATCAATATTCAGACACGTCCCCTTTTCGAAATTCTTCAAACTGTGGATCGTATTAATTGTAAGAAAGTTACAGCTTTATCTGATAACGTAAAGAAGATAGATATTTTCTAAAGATATCTCCACAAGCGAAAACAGATCTTTTTCAGGATGTAAGATAGTTTAAATGATGTAATACCTTAATGAAACCTTTTCTTAAAAAGTATCCCTGTTACGCCCAAGGCCGCCATGTTAATTCGTAATTTGTAACCAATGTATTTACCCTTAAAAGTTTGGCACTCCTTCAAAGGGGTCTATAGATAGACCAATAAAAAAGTAAAATATTCTCGTCACCACCAAGCTTTAAACCTTTAAACTTTAATGATAAATACTCCCAAAAAAAGAGGTTTTTCAGTACCTATTTACAAATATGAATGCTGAGTATATCTGACAAGCTATTGTTAAATTCTAAATTCTAACTGTCACTTGATCATTCATTCATGGCAAGTTTCAGGACTTTCTTAAAGGCCTTTACAGATGTAACATTTCTCAGGTCTTCGTCTAACATGTTCCAAAGAGATACTGCTCTATAGGCAAAGGACCTTTGGCCGGTAGCTGATCTCAATAAAAGAGAGTGAAAAATAAGAAAAAAGGTTTGTCTTCAGGTGATTTCAAGGGGTAAGTCCCGCTTGGTGCAGCAACCATATGTTGAAAACCGCCACATTTCTAAATCTGAGATTCATGACACACACATATAAGATACATGATAGTAATATTGCCCATCGAAATGTAAGAAACAAGCCGACAATTAAGGAATCTAGCCAAGAACTCTTAAAAATGATGCGATGCTATGAATCATGCAACAGTGTGCATCATGTAGCTACGTGATGTCCATTGCCCTTCAGGTCAAAATCAAAAACACAAACAGATGAAATGAAACGTACACCGGGTAAATGAGTTTTTGCTAATAACAGGTTTGTACCTGTGCCGCGTAAAATATCACATTGCAAAGTGTGTTCACGTGAAGGTTACAATTTGCGAGATATTTCCTCTTTACCTCCTTGTCCTCTGAAAGACATGAAACTCTGCTTGAGTTGGATGTCAATTCGAACTAATCAAAACGCTTTTCTAAGTTCTAATATAAGGACCTGATCTCACTGGCCAACGCCATTCTGTGAAGCATAGCTTGGAAGAATGACTCAGTTAACCGTCTTGATCATAGTTTTGTTCCTCCGTGGAAATATCTGTTTGGCCGTCAAAGGTAAGACTGTATTGGTGCTGCACAGCATAATAAGCTAAATGTATTTAAAACACATTTGCTGCAACGTATCATTCAGAGTAATCTACATCGTGACTTCTGAAAACTTCGGTTGAATTTGATTGTCTGAGTTTATTTCTCCGACTTAGCTTTCGTTTTCAATCCCCCTTTTTGAATTTTGTGGAATTTCTCCCTTACAAAAAGCCGGAGAAGGAGACATTTCAGAGCAAAGCCCCCCATTTATTTCCAGAAAGTTTTGTTGAAGAAATGGTCTTCATTTCACGGCCACTGTTGAGCTTTTAACCTCGTTTAAGTCTTGTTACCCTTATGATAAATCAGCTTCCAAATGATTCAGGAGGTAAGTGCCATAGTTCTTTTTCGATCTGTCGGTTTATCTGCAACATCATACGTTAAAACGTTTTTGGAATATAGTCCAGCCGGTTAGACTTTGCATTATCGGTGGTTTAAGCCAGGAGATTGTCCTAAGGCCCATAAAGAAGATTCTTGGTGGCAATGAACACACGCTCTTCTTTTGAAATTTGCCATCGTGGGCCTAACAACTTTAAGTCGCCTTCACTTCGGGCCAAATCAGGTTCATAACATCATTCTTTCCTTTTAAGATAAATGTGCGAGGTACTCTTATGCAAGAATAAAAAAAAAACACTTTTACAGTCTCGCTCTATGCCTTCTTAATAGCGTTCGAAGCGTTTTGTTACCTTTGCAATTAATGTCCAAAGGACGTCTTTCAACAAAACTTAATAGTTTAGCTGGCTAGAGCTCGGTTTTATTCTTGCACTTCAGGGGTCGGTTTCAAAACACGACCCTTGGAATTACAAGTTGCTATTGACAATTGCACTTCAAGCGTTGATTGGATTGACGATGTATTCTATGAAAAAAGTTTTCACCAAAATTTTGCCCCTCACCAATAGGTAAGTCATCAAGTCAACATATGTTTTGGCGATTCGTTTGATATCAACTTTCTATCAATGAATCTTTAAAAACAGAAAGGAAACCTTTGCTCTAAAAGTAGCACTGCTGAGCTAGCACGATTAACTTTTCATATTTCTATCGATGGAAAGACATGCCACGTCACCAAACAGGCAAGCACAAACTTGTCGCGTAGTTTGTCCTACTTCACCTTATAAGGTCATAAAGTGTCATTTGGACACATTTTTCGAATCGCAGTGCATGGAATAGTCGTCACGCAAAAGTAAAACTGTACTAAGTTAATTTCGGGATTTTTTTGGAAAACCGTAATGATGTACTTTTCCGTACCATAAGGTATTCCACTCCAAACTGGTAGGCTTAACATTTCCCAAAATCTGCAAGATTGGAGCTGCAGCAGTGGATGTTCACCCCCTCAATATTGACGATTGTCTCGTTGCACAAACATTGTATTCCCTGATGCATTCAAGGGATCCGGAACAGTGAGTACTCTTGTATAGTTCTAGTTTACTCCCTTTCTTGCGGATGAAGAAACTCTATCCTATATCAACAGGCCGAGGGATGACTGCGAATGCATTAAGCTACGCAAAGCCTGAGAATAATTTAGTGGAATCGCATTCGAGATAAAATTCTTTCGTTGCTTCATTTTAAGCAGATACCTTCTCATGCTCACATTATGTTCTTTAGTCCTATGTCTTGCTTTAAGACGTCACTTAATCACTTTTTTTAAGCAGTTAATCCTCTCCTCCACTGTAATGGAGCCATAACTGATAATTCTTCAATAACGAAGAGCTTAATGGCCTGATTCCATGAGGAGCTGAGGGGAGCAATCCAATAACAAGGGCAGAAACCACTTAAATAAACGCAAAGAATAACGGAACAAAACGGGTCATGGCCTCACCGAGATTGTTTACTTTCGCTTTTATCATTCGTTTTAACAAAAGCTACGGAATTTCAATTTTAGCGCTTTACCTTCGAAATTACAGGTTAACGTTCACGTGACAGTAAGTCATGGTGAGATGTTCTCACGTGTCCACTCACCCTCTGCTATGTGGGTTCAGTCCGTTAGCACACTTGGCTTTAAGGTATGTTCGCGTGAGTCAGGTATTGGATCTGATGGGACCGGAATCATCAACTGGCTGGCTTTCCAAGATCATCCAAAAATTACTCACGGCAGAGCGACTTTTGATGGCATATGGACAACAGAAACTAAGTGTGACAAAGTTACCTTCTCACAGGTTAGGAAAAATGTTGAGGTTCAGAGTCGAAAAATGTTTAAGCTATCAAGGTCTTTAAGCCTTTTTGATGTTCTTGGTTATGAACATATATACATTATTTTGGACAAGTTTCCATTTCTGAGTTGGCAATTTACATTTTGTGATCTTGTGGACGATCATGACAAAACCCAAATGTGGTGACGGATAAGAATCAATGGATACTTAGAGTTTTCTCCTTTGAAGTTGTAAAAGACAAGTTGCAAGTCATTCTAATTTCAGAGCCCACATACGTTTTGTAGTGGAGGCGCGGTGGCCTCATGGTTGGTGCCCTCGACTCCGGATCGAGTGGTCCGGGTTCGAGCCCCGGCCGGGACATTTTGTTGTGTTCTTAGGCAAGACAATTTACTCTCACAGTGCCTCTCTTGACCAAGGTGTACCGGCAATTTAACGCTGGGGGTAACCCTGCGATGAACTGGCATCCTATCCAGGGGGGGAGAAGAAATACTCCTAGTCGCCTCATGCTACAGAAACCTACCTGATGGGCCACTAGGCTCGTAAACAGACTTTATCTTACATACGTTGTGTGGCCACGCGAAATTTGTTCTTAAATTGTAAAGTGATGCTTTGATAACATCACAGAGTTTTCCCAGAAAACCTTTCGTGTTTGTGTCAGCAAGATACACACGCGACACAAAACCAGATGACGCAATGTATGTTTGGTTGGAAAACGTAAATTCCAGAAGTTTTGAGGTGTGCATCCGGGAGTTCCTGCCCTTCAATGGAAAACATAACGACACCACTGTGGTAAGACATACGCTCTTGAAGTTTTCAGTGGTACACGTGCGAGTCGTTTGTGTTGTTATTCTGTCTGACGGCAACACTTGCTCTTGCTCTGTATTTGTTTATTGCAGGACTGGTTCGCGTTTTTTGGCGCTGGCTCTGAATTCAGTTTCACGCTGTCAGGGGAAAAGTATTTTCCAAACAGTTTTCCGCCGACAGCAGAAGACAATTATGGTTTCTGTCAAGTGAGTGTAAATTACTATAATGTTTTGTGAACTTGAAGGTGCGGTTCCATGGTGAAAGATTTTGGGGAGTTCACTTCCAAACAGAAATAGTGCAATACGAATTATCTCAATCTCAAATCGTCTTATTTCTCTCTTATTTTTACAGGAAGTGCCGTTCAACACAACTTTTTATGCCTTACCAGTTATCCTTGTGTCTGTGCAGCATATGTACAACATTCAAGTCAGCACGAAGAGCCTCATTTCACCGAAAAACAATATTATATCAGCCTGGGTTGAGGTACATTGAGCAGTTCATCTTTATGTTGGCCTTTTTTTCTGCTCTTGTTTTACCGTGTGGTCTCTCTGTGTAGGAAGTTAGCCTCACATCCATGAAGATTTGCGTCAAAGACTTGAGCGGAACAGGAAGCAAACACGACCCTCTGTCTGTTAGCTACGTCGTTATTGGAGGTTAGTGTTCGGCCGGAAGGTGCTAGTGTTATCATTCTGCAATTTACCTTTGCTTCCTTTCGTTAATCCTGATGTAACTATTATTTTGCTTCACATTCACAGACCTAGATCCCTGCCTAAATGTGTTTTGCCCGTTATTGGGAGCTTGCAAAACCTACAGCGCCCATGAAGCACGCTGCGTGTGTAACGAAAACTGCCCTTCGTATCAAAATCCAGTCTGCACAGAAGGCGGGACAACGTACGACAACGAATGCCTCTACAGGTCGAGTCAGTGCAAGGGACTGGAAAATAACACCTTGTATCATCCTGGCACCTGTGAGGGTAGGGCTACATTTCAAGAAAATTCTAACATCGTCAGGAAAAATGAACAGGAACTTTGTTCTCCTAGACACATGAACATGATAACATCGCCACACAAACTCTCGGAAATCGTCAGCAACGTAAGGTGTAACAGTGAACATAAATTTGGCTATTACAGAGTAACAACTCCGTTGTTTTAAATCTTTGCAGGCTTTCCAATCGTTCATGGTCGTGTTAAGCTCCTTCAAGTTTCCAAAGGTCCAGAATCTAGTTGCAAGGCAGTGGTATTCCCACCATACCGCTTTTATCCGAACGAGGAAGTACACGTACAGATCACCCTTAATCACATGAACCTGAATGATTCCGTGACAGTGCAACATGCCATCACATATTGGACTGAAAAAGTAAATACGCAAAATTTTACAGTCTGCGCGATGCAGTCTGGGAGAAGTGGAAACAACATTAATCCTTTCGCTACCATTGATTGGATGGCTTATTAAGGAGCCCCACCCCAGGGAACGACGGGAAGAATCAAAATGACAAAATGGTGGTCGGGAACGAATTGCGCAGATGTGACTTTTCCAAAGGTAGGTTACGATTAATTGGTAACCATTTATCAGTATAATTATTACTTTTTATATAGGAGACGCAAGCTCGTTTGTAGGGCTTAAAAAGGTTAATAATGAAAGAAAAAACATCTTCAGGTAAAAACGCATTGTAATTTCTGAACTTTTAATATAATTTGATACTTGGCTCTATTGGAAATTAAGATTGTTTACGATTACTTGATTGTCATCAATTTACATCAAACTCACTCACAATTTCAAAAGTGAACTAAGATGTTATTTGACATAATTTCCTCACATGCGGATAGGACAAGTTTTACGATTCGCCAGATGTACTTGTGACGTCCAATCACCAAAGAAGTAGGAAGGAACATGATGCCGCATTGATCTGGACAGAAGACGTAACCAAGGACTCGTTCAAGGCTTGTTTGCGAGAGTTGCAAAACTTTGATGGCAAGCATGAAGATATTTATGTGGTACGTGATATCCTTTCTCCGAATACAACTGCTGCAGGATCGATAACGCTATAAGATTGAGGACATTGTTTGCCAGTCCCTTTGAGTAAGAGGAATAACTTTAATTTCATTCATTTTTTCATACAATTTCAAGGTCCATTTTCTGTATGATATCATTTGCAGCTCATTGATAATGCGTTATTGTACTAACTACAAGTAAGGCTTTTACAGTTATATTTTTGCATTGGATCTTCACAGACCTGGTTGGCCTTTGCTAGGCTGCATAAACCGTTCTTCACTGAATATGGCTCTGTAAACTTTGCAAACACGAATCCGCCAAGAGATGAAGACAACAACGCTTACTGCGAGGTGAGTTTGAGTAATCTTTTCACAGAATGAACTTTCTCAGTAAGCGCCAGAAACTGAAAATAGTTAACGATGATTGTTTGGATAATAGCTATGAAAGATTCCTTTTAGTACCTTCTTGCTTTTTTGTTCTACTGACAGTTTGTGCACTTTACACGAAGTTACAATGCAACACCATCTGTCCAAATATCTGCCACTCACAGCACAACAGCAAGTGGAAATTTGGCACCAGTTCACAACGGTATTTCTACATGGATTGAGGTAAACAGCCAAGGTCTCGGAATACTTCCGAATGTCAAGACTAGTAAGCTTGGATATAGCTCCCTGTTATCAAAGATCACCAAAGAATTTTCTTCGATCTTCTGCTTTAATAATTCACGGTTTACATTTCAACCCGGATGACAATTATACTGCATAAAACTAGAACTCGAAAGAGATACATAACACTGGCGTAATTGTTTTTATTAGGTTCTAAGGTCAAGAAAGCCTAGAAACGTTTTTCTTAATGAAGCTTGATATGGAGATTCCTTTTTAAAGATTACTTTAAACTGTTTGCAGAACATGAATGTGTCTGGATTCAGAGTATGTGTCAAGGAATTGTACGAAACCAGATATGATCCTGTTTCAGTGACTTATGCGGTCCTCACAGGTCAGTAATTGTACCAGATAATGTAATTAAGTTTTTGGGGGGCTAGATTGGAACAATATCTTGACAGAAAGATACAAATACTTCCCTAAACTAATGAATAATGAATTTCTGTCACTCTTTCCAAGATTTAATTACACGTTGATTTCCAGACATCTGTGATCCCGGATGGAGCTACTTCAATGGATTCTGTTATTTCACAAGTGATACCTGTACAGATTGGACCACACCAGTAACGAAATGTAGACAATAAAACTCAGTCCTTATTGATGTCAACAACAATGAAGAAAATGTTTACATACAGCACCTCCACGATGGAGATAAATCCTGGCTGGGGTTGAATGACAGATCAAAAGAGGGCAATTTTAGTTGGGTTGATCGTGGACATGGAAACTTTACATCCTGGGCCGAGAATCAGCCGAATAATTTCATAAAAGAAGACTGTGTACTTGCGCTCGGTATGAAACGCGACTATGAATGGAAGGACGTGCAGTGCAGTGATTGTCACGGTTCACTTGTAAGAAAGGTAAGTCAAACATATCAAAGACATCTTTTAGGTTTGGTTTTTACAGTTTGGTAGTGTTTTACGAACTAAGCAACATATTTCGCCCAAAATATATTTTAGGCACAAAATAAATTAGCGTATTGTTACTCCTTACTTTGAATGGCATGCCCCGGTGTCCATTACAAGCTACCCTGAAGACTGAGTCATCGGATAAATTGTAGGTATCCACGTAGAACTCTAGAAGGATAAACATAATGAGAAATAGCGGCAAAAAAGTCACTTTGCTCTAACAGGAGAACAAACGTAAATTAGCAACGTTGCTGGTGGTAGCACTAATGTTATACTTGTTGGTGTCATCGTAAGGACTTATATGCAATGTCATTCTACTCTCTAGATTTAAATGAATGTCAAAAGGAATGGAATTACTGTTACAGCCTTGAAATGTGTTTCAATGAACGTGGCTCGCACAAATGCAAATGTGGCGCTGGATACATTAAAGATGGATTTTCCTGTTTAATTGGTAAGAACATGTTTTCTGAAGTTTTTTTCTATTTGCTTAGAACGTCAAGAAGGAGAAACTCTAATTGTTGTAGACGCCTCATAAAATTCCACTCTTAAATGATAACACAACAAAGATATTGAGCCAGAGGTAATTATAGATTGTTACGAATATATTCCTGTAGTAAGTGCCCTTTCCCGAAATGCGACCACCCCTTGGACTATGATGTCAAACCAGCGCCCCTTTCGAATAAACATCCCTTCCTACCATCTCTTTTTTTTTAAATAGTAGGAATACAAGAACGTTTGTTTTTTATAGCCATTTCCTTTACAACTTTTTAAGTTTTAACTGCAGCAGAATCAGGACAGCGTTCTGCTCAATTAAGCGCTCTCCTTCCAATAAGTTCCCTTGGCTATAGCCCGAATTTTAAATTTCGCGCTTTCTATAAGGAAATACGGCATTTGTGGCATGGAGGAGAGTTTTGTGGGAGGTGCAAGGCAGACATGTTGAGGATAGGCCTTAAAGAGTTTGTTATAAAGGCTCTTTGAAATGTAACAAACATTATTAATTTAAACTTCGCTTGGAATGTGGCAAAGACCGATTTTAACAATTGCACAAAGCCTTTTAAAATAAGATAAAGAGACCTAACCTAGAGTTATAACCTCTTTTGTCTTTAGAGGATTATTTGCTTGAATCGCACCTAAATGCAGTATCCAGAATTACTGTATTTCAATAAATAAGACAGTGAAACATAACATCACGGTATTGTTTGTGAACATATCAGCGTGTCTCGTTAATCCTTGTTCTCTGTTGGTGACGATGTCTTGATTTACGATAAATTTTCTGTATAACTGCGTTCTGATGAGCTGAAACAGCCTGCTTTACCATCGTCGACCACTTCCGGATTTTTCTCCTTTTTTGGTCTTGGGTACGCGAAGCGTACAAACGACTATTAGAATGGGACAGAATATGCAAACGTGTCACTCACTCAGATGTAAACAAATCGATATGTCGACGGCAGACCAATTGATAACGACCTTCCGAAATTATACGGTACGCCTCTATCACATTTCCGATGTAATGCTGCGACGTTAAAATTTAACTCGAACTTTCTTTGAAGGAGTTTCGATTTTAATTAAAATACTCGTCGCAATTAGCACATGTGTAACCGAGTCAAAGCTCTTAGAAAGATTAAAGGTGTAACTTTGGGTGGAGACGCTTAATGTAATCGCTTTTCCCCGATCATCTTTCGCCGTCATTTACATTACTAGTTGTGAAACATTCCTCGCCGTTCCCGGGTATATTATGTTTTTGACGAAGCGTCCAGGCCACTGAATCGTTCTTAAATACGACTTCAAGCCTTCATTCTTCTCACTGCGAGCTGTCAGTATTTATATCGTAATATATCGCCAAAATGAGTAACCAGCGAAATTTTATAGGGGAAATTCTAACCATTCACTCAAAATCACCCCAGCAGTTCAAAGTGATACCAAGTAGTTTCAACTGTATCCGGGAGTTACCCATTAGAATTTAATTATCTTCAAAACTCATTCAAACGCAATGTATCCTCTAGTTATTCACAGTTTCCTTTGATATTCTTATTACCCAAAAGTTTTGCACGAACTGATTGAATATGAAAACGAGCTTTGCAGTTGATACAGATTAACCTGTAGGTAACGGCACTAATTACACAGAGACTGAAAGTGAAATTCGAAAACAAACAAAGCTTTGTAAACACGCCGAGCGGATATAGCGTGAGCAAAGACGAAAAGCAACAAAGAAAAAAATAAGATTCATATTTATTTTTATTAAAAGAATACCTCGACTGTGTTCTATTCTGTTGAAAAGCAAGTAGGAAGAGACTTCATTTAGAGCACTCAAGAACAAGAGAAAACTTTCTACTACGTCTAGTGATTCCCTAACACTTCTTTCGTGTTATAGCTGTTTCCCCAGCACTTTTTACAGAACAGAGCGCCGTCGAGCTCCTTTATTTGTTAAATACAACCCTACAACAGTGACGCTTTGTATGAAGAGTAAGGGGATACCATTCTTCAATTCTTAAAGGTTTTTCATAATCCGCTATACTGGAAAATGACGTCAATCACCTGAGCACTTTAAGTTACTGGTTAAAGCCTGTAGTGAAGAGCCATTCCTATCACTGGAAGAGATGTTGGCGGGCATCAGTGGATGGTTGGGGTGCCCCAACCTTCCACTATTTGTGCGACAACAAAGGACCAACAGTGACCATTATCCGTGTGGGAAAATACATATTTGGTGGATACACGAGCACATCATGGAGTAAGTACATGATTGATTGAGTTTGCTTGCCTTCTCCCCTCCTTGATGTAGAACCTATAAAATTGAAATTTGAGAATACATCTGGTTTATGATTTTAAAACAAACAAACGAACAATCATGTGTGGGGCAAGGAAATACGAGCATGAAAATACGATCATATTACGCCTTTCCTGAAGCAATTGAAATGGCTTCCTGTCTCTGGCCATTTGTATTATCTTAGGGGCCGACCATTTAACTTTTAAGAGGGGGGAGGTGGGTGATTTCTGGTCATCAAGAAATTTTTTCTAGCAATCTGCTGGGCAGGATATTTTTTTTCCGTTCTAAAATGCTCTTTTTTCCTGTTAAATTTGTGCTGCATGCAATTTTTTTCTTCCAACAAGCGCTTGCAGGAAATTGTTTTTCAAAATCACCCACCCCCCCTCCTCAAGAGTTAAATAGTCGGCCCCTTAGTGCTACCTCAGCCTTTAAATGCATGATCGGTTGTGCCGCAGAGTATCTTTCTTCGCAGCTTGTTAAACGCGATGACATAACTAATGGTATTACTAGAAACTCGCAAAAATTGAAAATCCCTCTCTCCAAGACTAACAGCAGCCAAAGAACATTTTATTACAGACTGATAACTTTGTAGAACTCCATTGATCCATGGCTTAAACTATGCAAAAACGTTAATATCTTTAAGCATTCACTCAGAACTACTGAAGTTATTACAAGAATTTTCAGACAATTAATTATGTAATTATGAATTATTAATTATTAATTATTAATTATGAATGAATTCGTTCAACAATAATGGCAGCCACACGCGTTCTTCTGTGCTCCCTACTTGTGCTTATAGTATTTGTTGCTGAACATCGCGAACAGTTTCAAACCAATCCCACATGTTCAGGAAGATTGTTTCGCTCCACCAGATGCTTTAGAAAGAAATTTCTTACGAGAAGAATAGCCTTTTATCCCAATACAACTGCTACCTTCAACCCGAGCTTCGACCTGCTTATCTGCTGCGGTGATGTTCATCCGATGCCAGGACCGAGTGCATTCTTCAGGCCACATACCTCAAATTTATCAGCTATGTTGCTAAATGCCCGCAGCCTTCGTAATAAGCTAACGGACTTCCAGGCTTCAATCTACTCCGCTAATGTTGACATTTTGGTGATTACCGAAACTTGGCTTACAGCCGCCATTTTGGATCATGAAGTCCTTCCGAGAGGTTACAACGTTTATCGTCGCGACAGGGAAGAGGAGAGGAGAGGCGGAGGCGTTTTGATTGCTATAAGAGACAATATTTCTTCCCAACGTCGCCGGGATATAGAAACAAATTGTGAGCTTGTGGTCGTCGAAGTCAATCCGACGAAGGCCAATAAGTTCCTTCTTTATGGCTTTTACCGTCCTCCGTCGACTAATAGCGAATATTTGCTGGAGCTCAAACAATCTCTGTCACATGAGGAATTGAATACCCCACTTTTTCTCTGTGGTGACTTTAATTTTCCTGATATCAACTGGAACTATCAAGCAGCTCCGGGCTTAGATAATCTTCCAAATATGTTTTGCGATATCGTCAGTGACACGTTTCTAACACAGATGAATCATTCCACAACAAGAATCACAGATAACGCAGAGAATATTCTTGACCTCGTTTTTACTAACCAACCCGAACGTGTATGTGAAATGGAGACATTCGANAGTCCTGAAATGTGTTTCAATGAACGTGGCTCGCACAAGTGCCAATGTGGCGCTGGATACATTAAAGATCGATTTTGCTGTTTAAGTGGTAAGAACATGTTTTCTGAAGTACTTTTTGCTTAGAACTTCAAGAAGGAGATACTCTAATTGTTGTAGACGCCTCTTGAGCTAAACACATCATAAAATTCCACTCTGACATGATACCACAACAAACATATCGAGTTCGAGGTAATTATAGACTGTTAGTAAGTGCCCTTTCCCGAAATGTCACAACTCCCTGGACAAACAATGTCAAACAATCGCCCCTTTCGATAAACATCCATCCATGCCACCTCCGTGACTTTTTTAAGGAATACAGGAAAACTTGCTTTTTATTGCAATTTCATGCACAACTCTTTAAGCTTCAACTACGGCAGAATGAGTACAGCGTTCTGCTCAATTAAGCACCCTCCTTCCAATAAGTTCCACTGGTTAAAGTCCAAATTTTACATTTCGCGCATTCAATAAGAAAATACAGCATTTGTGGCATGGAGGAGAGTTTGGTGGGAAGTGCGGAGATAGCGTGAGCAAAGACGAAAAACACCAAACAATAAACAGGATTCATATTTCGGCTTTTTATTAGACGAATACAGATGCCTCGAGTGTGTTCTATTCTGTTGTAAAGCAAGCAGGAAGCGACTTCATTTCGAGCACTCGAGAACTAGGGAAAACAGTCAACTACGTCTAGTCATTTCCCAACACTTCCATCGTGTTCTAGCTGTTTCCTCAGCACTTTATACAGAACATAGCGCAGTCGAGCTCCTTTATTTGTTAAATACAACCCTTCACACTTTGTATCAAGAGTAATGTAATACCCATTCTTCCATTCTTAAATGTTTTTCAGAATCAGGTATACTGGCAAATGACGACAATCATCTGAGCGCGTTAAGTCACTGGTTAAAGCCTGTAGAAAAGAACCATTCCTCTCACTGGATGAGATATTGGCGGGCATCAGTGGATGGTTGGG